AAAGGAATTTGACGTCCGATAATCTCCGATACCGTGCAACCTCCCCCCTTCTTGACGGTCGATATTCTACCACCGCCGACAGTTTTTTTCTCCTGAGCCCTCCAAACCACAAAAACCACCATCAACTATATTTTTATGCCTTCAGCTCAGGAGTTTTTTTCACTGCTGGTCGGATTTGTGTTTAATCGCTTCCCTTGACAATGCCTGTAAACTGGCATTAAATTAAAAAATTTAATTTATTTATTCATCGATGAGATCTTGCGGGGCCTTCCATTCGCCTACGCCTACATCGCAAGCTCTTCGGCAGAGGAACATACCTCGCATTTACGCCGCATATTCGATCGTTTCCAGCAACACGACTTGCAATTAAACGTCGACAAATGCGGTTTTGGCGTTAATTCTCTCGATTTCCTTGGCAATCACGTCGATCAGCACGGAATCACTCCACTTACAGAGAAGGTGCAGTGCATCTTTTCTTTCCCTGTTTCCAAAACACTCACTCAGCTGCGACGTTTCATAGGCCTTATAAACTATTACAGACGTTTTATTCCCCATTGTGCGGCAATCCTGGCTCCCTTGACTGACCCTTTGAGGTCGAAAGCAAAACCTATTGAACTTTCACCGGCAGCCCATACAGCTTTTGAGGAAGCGAAGAAGGCTCTTGCCGATGCCACCATGCTGCACCACCTCAGCTCTGACGCTCATGCACAGCTCATTTTGACCACCGACGCTTCCAGCAGTGCTGTCGGCGCAGTCTTTCATCAAAATGTGAATAACCAGTTGCAGCCTTTAGCTTTCTTTTCACAGAAGCTACAACCGACGCAGACTCGCTACAGTACTTTCTCTCGCGAGCTCCTTGCCATCTACATGGCCATACGTCACTTTCGACACCTTTTAGAGGGCAGAGACTTTTCGGTCCACACCGACCACAAGCCTCTCACTTACGCCCTCAAGGCCAAGCCAGATCGGTACCCGCCCAGGGAAGTTCGTCACCTGGACTATATTTCGCAGTTTACTGCCGATATCCGCTACGTCCGGGGCAGAGACAATGTCGTTGCTGATGCATTATCCCGTCCGGACATCATCACACTCACATCCGATTTCGACCTGGCGAGGCTTGCAGACCTCCAAACAGCAGACGAGTCCATCGCGGACTTACGTACGTCTACTACTCTGCAGCTTCGAGATGCACCACTTCCTGCGTCACCAGGTACGATTTTTTGCGATTGGTCCACAGGCACCCCTCGTCCTGTTGTTCCACTATCCTATCGTAAGGTCGTCTTTGACTACTTTCACTCCCTCTCCCACCCTGGCATTCGCGCTGGACGTAAGTTAGTTGCGGCTCGTTTTGTTTGGCCGAAGATGAATTCCGACACTGCTCTTTAGACCAAACAGTGTCTCGCATGCCAGAAGAACAAGGTTCATCGACACACTTTCTCCCCTCCAAGTACCTTTGCGGTCCCGGATGTTCGATTTAATTATGTTCACTTGGATTTAATCGGACCGTTACCTCCTTCACGTGGGTACACACATATCCTGACGGCAGCTGACCGTTTCACACGATGGCCGATTGCCGTTCCTATCTCGGATACCTCGGCAGAAAATATCGCCATGGTTTTTCTGACCCACTGGATCTCAACTTTTGGTGTTCCAACCACCCTTACCACCGACCGCGGAAGTCAATTCCAATCTAGCCTCTTCCGTGAGTTCACTAGACTGCTCGGGTGCGCGAACATCACAACCACGGCATACCATCCTGCCTCCAACGGCCTCGTTGAGTGTCTACACCGCCAACTGAAGTCCGCACTGATGTCCGAAACAGAGTCGGCTACTTGGAGTGTCAATCTCCCTCTTGTGCTTTTGGGCATCCGATCTTCTGTCAAGGAGGACATCCAATGCACTGCCGCCGAACTTGTGTACGGTACACCCCTCCGTCTGCCAGGCGAATTTGTGCAGCCTTCCACAACAAACACTAACATCACGAGCACCTTTGTACAGCAGTTAAAACAACGCATGGCTCAACTGCGTCCAACCCCCACTCACCTGACCTCGAAACATATATGTATATGTATATTGAAGGGTTACAGGCAGAGCCCTTGATGACCATATTTATGTACAGTGCTTTCGCAGATTCATACTCAAAAATAAAATTAAATTGCAGGCATTTAAGATGTGATTGGGTCACAGTTCAATCGTAATCATAAGTTAGTGCATGGAGTCTCTGTAAATTAGTGCGGAAGATT